AACCCATATGGAAGAAGAGAAGTTGACCCTGACCTCCACATGCATGCTGTGGTATACATGTATGCCCACACACACACACACACACACACACACACAATACATGCATATATATATATAACTTGTAAACACAAGACAAAAATTACATGAACTATAGAGCTACCTGACCAGCCTAGAGCTGTATACACTCCTTCCACAGCAGGCAGAGAGGAGCACAGAGATCCTGTGGCTGGCGGGCATATAAGCAGCTACAGAAAAACAAGCAGCCATTAGAGCAGAGGTCTTCACCAGCCACACACCAGGACCAATGGAAAGAGCCATGGTTAATGAAAAGACAGAGGAGAGGACATAAGACAGTACAAAAGTGCTCACTAAGGCAAGGATGCCTCGGGTGGCCCTGGACTCTGGACAGGACCTGAGGGAATAGTTGGTGCTGCGGATGTGTTGAACCTGGTGCTTGTGCCTGTGCAGGATAAAGATCATGAAGCCACTGGACCAGACCATGAGCCCCAAACACAACACATCGTAAGAGGACCACAATATGAGATGCAGAGGATACGTGATTCTGGTACTAACTGCCCCACAGTATCCGAAACTCATTTTCTCCATGCCATACTGTTGGCTGGTGACACGCATCGGAACAATGACATACAGCAGCATGTTCACCAGCCAACACGAGGTCAAGATGTGGGCGGTGCCCATGCGTTCAGAAATGTGGCGTTTCACTTCCTTCCATCTGGACACCATGGGGCTGACGGTGATGGCCTGGAAGACACTCAAGAAGCAGGTGCTACCAACGCACATGCCCCTGGACACTCTGTGGACATAGAAGACAAGTTTGCAACCTGTATCGCTGAGGAAATCCTTCATCCCCAAAGCAGCCATCGTCTGTGGTACTCCTTTAGTCAGTATAACCAAGAAATTGGCCAAGGTCAGGTGCTGGACAATCAAATACGTAGACCTGCCTGTACGTCTCATGAAACAATGGAAATTGTAATAGCAGAAAAGAAGGCAGTTCCCCAGGGACCCAATTATGGTCTGATACAGGAAGATCATCCCTACTGCCAAGTCCCTGGAGTGACTGACAGTCCCATTCAGAGTGACAGGATCCTGCATGAAAACACAAGGTCTGCGTGGTGTGGGACGATGAAATACGTTACTGCCCGCTCACCATCGTGTCCCACTCAGACGTTCCCTAAGATGTGTCATTAGTACTATTGCTACTGCTATTATCTCGTGCGTATGTGCAGGCGTGCAGGAATCACAGCATCGTAGGACAATCAATCAGAAGACAGCCGTCAACAGTGATGTTAGACCCCCGGAAAACTCAGGTATCCGGGGTCCCAGTCCACAACCGAGGTCACCCCAATCACCAGACAGATTCGAGAGCTTGCTGCAAACTGCACGAGGCTTTGTTGTAATTTAACGAGCTAATCCCATGTTAGCTTGGGTCTTTTGTCCACCCACCATGGCAGTTGGCTACAAAAGACAGTTTTAACCGGCTGCCGAGAGATCTTGTAGGGCAGCGTAAGGGGAGTATCTAGGGGTACGCACAGGCTCACGATTGGTGTGCCTCCAGGCTTGGAGGGCTTGCCCTGTGTCGATCGGTCAACTGGTTGTTATGGCTCATAGGCCCTCCCAGGGCGGTTGCTATGCTCTGTGCGTCATTGCTATGCGCTTGTCCGTAAAGTACACCCAGGGTGGTAAAGCATAGCACCACCAGCTAACTTCTGATTGGTTCCTTGTCACGAGGCAAGCACCTAACCTCTAGTGACTAAGACAAGGTCATAGCGAGCACGTGTTACTGTCATGGCTGCCGAAATGGGGAGCTGGTCCCTTCAGTGAGATCTCTCCTTCCACCATGGACTCAGGGGTGGAGCTCGGGTTGTCAGATATGAGCGGCCGGTGCTTTTATCTGCTGAGCCACCTTGCTGTTTCACAGACACTCCTTATTAAATCCATGGTTTCTTTCTCTAAGACTTTAGACAGAAGAAGAAAATCAGACAAGTAATGAGTGCATCCGTGTTTTATGAAGCAAATACGTGCAAGGGTCTATTGCTGTTTTACATGTAAATTCTACAACAGTTCTAGCAAGTCAACACTCGGCAGTTCTCACTCTACAAGTGAAGAGAATCAGGCACAGAAAAGCTGAACAGTATTTTTGTTTGTTTGTTTGTTTGTTTTTTAGAGACAGGGTTTCCCTGTGTAACTTTGGAGTCTGTCCTGGAGTCTGTCTTGTAGACCAGGCTGGTCTCAAACTCGCAGAGATCCACCTGCCTCTGCCTCTGCCTCTGCCTCTGCCTCTGCCTCTGCCTCTGCCTCTGCCTCTGCCTGAGTGCTGGGATTGAAAGCGTGCGCCACCACTCCCCAGCTGAACAGTATTTCTTTTCTTTTTAATTTCCACTCATTTATTTATTCATCCATCCATCCATTTATTGATTTATTCACTTGTTTACATTATTGAGTATACAGTGAAAGAGGGCATATGAGTCAAGAAGAAGGGATGTGGCGTGGACCAGCACTTTGGTGACCATTGTTATTTGGCAAGGTTCCAACATTTCAACATTGCAGACAGACCATGCTTGTCCAGGACCTTTTTAAGTTTCATTCCTAACAGTTCTCAATATCATCAATGCCTTTCCCTTTGGGAAATTTAGTGTGGGCTTTGGTAGAGGATAAAAACGTGTATAGTGGTAGCCTAGGCTCGCTAAACAAAATAATTCTTTGTGGGAAAAACAATATCCCCAACACCAGGGGACCAGGAATTCCACTGTGCCCTCCTAATGAACACCAAGAACAGGAATGTTAGAGATTTACTAGACACACCTGATGGCAAGGATGAAACGCCTACAATTCAGATGCAGAGGAGCCCGAGAGAGCCTGAGCCCATTAAAGGCAAGAATTCAGTTAATTAATAAATACAGAGAAATCAGAATGTTACGTTATCCCAGTAGAAGACTGAGATGTCAGAATCTTCCCTTTTGTGTGAGTTAGTAGGGAAGAACCCGCAGTTCTATTTCCAAGATCAAGCATTTGTATAAGGGTCTCCATTCATTCCCTTAGGAGGAACTCAATGGCCCTTCATTAACATATGACTGCCGGGCAGTGGTGGTACACCCCTTTAATCCCAGTGCTCACTGGGGAGGCAGAGCCAGGTGTGTCCAAGGCCAGCCTGGTCAAACACAGCAGAGTGGTTCCAGGACAGCGAAGGCCAAACAGAGAAATGGAGTCTCAAAAAAAAAAAAAAAAAAACACACACATAAAAAAAAAAAAAGCAAAACAAAAGCCTATGATGACTGGTGCCTATTGTTAGGCTCTTCAACCCCTGATCTCAAGTCACACCCACAGTTCATTAAACAATATTTCTTTTTTCTGTATGCAGTCTGCATGTGTCCTTGAAGGCCAGAAGAGGGCACCAGATCTCATTACAGATGGCCGTGAGTCACCATGTCATTGCTGGGAATTGAACTCAGGACCTCTGGAAGAGCAGTCAGTGCTCTTAACCTCTGAGCCATCTCTCCAGCCCCATTAAACAGTATTTCAAAAGTCATTTCCACGAAAATGGCACAAGCTTTTGATCCCAGCATTCAGGAGGCAGAGGCAGGTGGATCTCTGAGTTTGAGACCAGCCTGGTCTACAGAGCGGGACCCAGGACAACCAGAGCCACACAGAGAGACCCTGTCTCAAAACAAAAAAATTTTTTTAAAGTGAGATCAGTGGGTAAAGGCGCTTGCTATCAAGCCTGGCAACCTGAGTTCCATCCCAAGGACCCACACGGTGGAAAGAGAGGCCCTCCAAATTGTCTGCTGCCTTCTACATCTGTGCTGTGAAAACACACACACACACACACACACACACACACACACACACACATATGTAAACACAACAAATAAATTGCGTTTTCTAGACAGAACAGACCATTGCACATATGAACTCACAGTGGTGGTGACCATAGGCACAAAGATCTGTGCAACCTTAAGCCAGACCAAATCCCGGCATGGGGGAGGAGATGGGTATAAAATCTCATGTCTAGCTGAGGAGTGATTTGGGACTAATAGCTACTGGGAGAAGAAATATCTTTCTTTAAGGGTATGGCCTCTGCTAGGTCCACCATACTCCAGTGGATGGCCACACACATAAAAGCATAAGGACAGCAGTAATGCGGCTCAGTGGGTAAGGAAAAAAAAAATGAAGACAAAAAAATTGGGTGAGGATAAAATGGGAGGAGATGGGGGATGAATACAAGCAAAACACATTGTACTTCGTCCTCAAAGAACTAATGGAAAATATTTTCTCAAAAGGAAGAAAGTGTTTTCCGTCTACAGCAAGATGGATCGCCCAGTGAAACGACCACACACACCAAGCAGAGGTCTAACAGAGGTCTACAAATCAGGAGTAGAAGATGAATTGTTACACAGGAGAAACAAACTAACCAGGACCACAACTGAAAATTAGCAGTTTTATTATGAATGAGAAAACACTAGATGGAAGTGTTTCAGCGTCAGAACCCAGAAACACATTGAAACAAGTCACCTCATGTGAAAAGGAAACGGCTTCCTCGAGCAAATTTCAACAGTACGGGTGGGGAACCCTGAGTCTGTGGGTGGCACATGGATCTGCACACTGGTGTGAACGCTGAATCTGTGGGCATTTTTGTGGGGAGAAGAGCATGGAAAATGTCACCAAATAAGGACTGAGAGTGTAGTTCAGTAGTGAATCCGGTGCTCACCTGGCATGCAGGAATTCCTGGTCCAATGCCCAGCACAGCAGAAACTGTTCACGGGGGCACATCCCAGTTACCCCAGCATTTGGGAAGTGCGAGTGGGAGCGTCAGAAGTTCAAGGTCATCTTCAGCAAGATAGAGTCAAAGGGGGTAGCTGGGGATACCTGAAACTCTGTCTCAAAGAAAACACAAGAAACCAGAAAATAGAAATCACCCAATAATGCAGTCAGGAAAACTGTGGAATTCCAAATTTTTCTCTTTTTTTTTTCTTTTTTTTTTTTTATGTGCCCTAGGCATGAAACAGCTTTGGCCAAAAAGTCAGGCATGAAGCTAGGATGAACAAAGGACTGCCATCTGCTCTGCCCCTGGCTGATATAAGAACAACACCACCACAAGGTGTCTGTCTCTTTGCCCATTGCCAGGGGTTCCAAATTTTTCTCAAAAAAAAAGAAAAGAAAAGAAAAGAAAAAAAACCTGGCCAGATAGTGGTGACCGACACCTTTAATCCCAGCACTCATGAGACAGATGCAGTGGGTCTTTTTAGTTTGGGGCCAGCCTGGTCTACAAAGCAAGTTCCAGGACAGCAGGACAGTCAGGAATGTTCCCCAGGGAAACCCTGTCTCAAAAAGCAGAGGAAAAAAACAAAAAGGAAACTTAAAGAGCACCTAGGTGTATAATGTTGGTTTTCCACAAAGTCCTCAAACGATTCTTCCTGTGTGACTTGGCATCTCTCAGTTTCCAGATCTGCAGGATCACTTTACCCTGATAAAAAAATTGCTTGTCCTGTTCCCTGACCCATTTCCTTGCTTGCAAACTGTGCCTCACAGAGCAAACTGTAGAACGCTCACCTGACTTCTTCCTGCAGTCAGGATAGAGGTCCTGGGCAATGCGCCAACGGTGGTTTGTGAAGGAGGCAGCCAGGTCTGGGATATGAGGGACTGATCCTATGCTCTCATCTCCCTCTGGGATAGCAATTATTTCACCTGTGATAACAATGACTGGGCACACTCAGGGAGTCAAAGTAATTCTTGAAAATTACTTTGGCTGGGAGTCAAAGTAATTCTTGAAAAACTTGGGCTCGGTGACTGATTTCCAGAGTGATCACAGGTTTCTAGACAGTTGAAAACATTTGGGAGAGGCTCTTCATTCCCGAGAGCTTAGGAGGTAGATGTGTGCGCTCTCTGAAGTTTGAGATACCAGGGAACATGAATGAAGCACACCCTGGATTCTGGGCTTCCGTGGAAAACACTTCGGTGGACTCTAACTCAGTGTTAATTGTCAGATTCTTGAGCCAGACCATGACTGAATTCTGAACAGAGAAATAAGATCATTTCTTATGGACTTGAAAGGGATGTCCAAAGAACTGACACCAGGGCTGGGGAGGTGGTGTTGCCCTGCAAGCTTGAGAACAAGCTTTTGGATCCCCAGAACCCACAGAAAAACTGGGCATGGTGGCCACTTAGCAGGCAGAAAACAGGGTCCAGGGACACGGGGTGAGATGGCTGGAATCGGAAGGCTCCATCCAGGTGGAGTGAGAGACCCTACCTCAATAAATAAATTGGAGAACACAAGCAAACCCTAGGTCAACTTTGGGCTTTCCCAAGTATGTGAACACACATAAACACACACACACACACACACACATATACCACATACAAATGAAGCTTAGACTTCAAGAGATAGACAGTTAAATATTAATATGCAGATAGGAAGAAATTGTTTTAATTCAGCCCAAATGAGCACGCAGATGTAGTTGGAATATTGTAAGGTCTATTGGAGCAACACCAACCACCGTAGTCATGGAGACGACATTATTAATTACTCTTGTTTAGAAGCTCTGGCAAATGCCGGACAGAAGCAATAGAAGGAACGGTTTATAGCCGGGCGTTGGTGGCACACGCCTTTAATCCCAGCACTCGGGAGGCAGAGGCAGGCGGATCGCTGTGAGTTCGAGGCCAGCCTGGTCTCCAGAGCGAGTGCCAGGACATCGTCCAAAGCTACACAGAGAAACAGGGTTTTGGCTCACAGTTTGAAGATGCTATCCACCATAGTGGGGAAAGTCATGGCAGCAGGACTTCTAAGCTACAGTCAGGAGGCAGAGAGGGGTGGATGAACAATCACGCTTAGCTCACTTGCTTCTTTGTATGTCGTCCAAGATTCCAGTCTGAGAGATGATGGCACCCGCGTGCAGCGGTGATTTGTTTTTCCTCCTCATTTAAGTATTCCTACCTCATAGACAGCCAGACATGGGTTTCCATGGTGATTCTAAATCCAAATAAGTTGACGGTGTGGGGAACTCAGAGAGTCACAGAAGAGACAGAAAGTCAGAGTCTCAGGGAGCTAGAGAGATGGCTCAGAGGTTAAGAGCACTGGCTGCTCTTCCAGAGGACCTGAGTTCAATACCGAGCAACCACATGGTGGCTCACAACTGTCTGTAATGCTACCTGGTGCCATCTTCTGGCCTGGGCAGAACACTGTATACATGATAAATATTAAATTTTAAAGAAAAAGTAAGTCAGGGTCCCATCGCACATAAAGAAATAATCAAACCTGCCAGGTGGTGGTGACACACACCTTTACTCCCAGCACTCAGGAGGCAGAGGCAGGTGGATCTCGAGTTCGAGACCAGCCTGGTCTACAAGAGCTAGTTCCAGGACAGCCTCCAAAGCCACAGAGAAACCCTGTCTCAAAGAAAAAAAAAATCAAACCCATGTAGTAGAACTGAGAGATAATTGATAAGCAAGTGTCACTTAAATAATTTAATATATAAGGCAGTCAGTACTCCAAGTAGTGTTTAAGACCTCTATGTAATTGTGATATGAGAGTTTTCAGCCATACAGAATTCTTTTCTTGAGTTTTTAAGGCAGGGTTTCTCTGTGTTGCCCCATCTGTCCTGGAACTCCCTCTGTAGATAAGGCTGACCTAGAACTCACAGAGATCCACCTGCCTCTGCTTCCCAAATGCTAGGATTAAAAGTGTACAACACCACTGCCCAGCAACATATAGAACATTTTTTAATTTATTTATGTATTTTATGTGCATTGGTGTTTTGCCTGCATGTATGTCTGTATAAAGTGTGTTGGATCCCCTGGAACTGTAAACAGTCTTGTTCTGCCATGTGTGTGCTGGGAATTGAACCTGGGTCCTCTGGAAGAGCAGTCAGTGCTCTTAACTGCTGAGCCATCTCTCTAGCTCCATATAAAACATTTTTAAAGGCTTATATTTAATAAAGAAATTTTTGTATTTGCTTTGTTCTAGGGTAGGGTTTTTGTTTGTTTTGTCATTGTTTTTTGGATTTATTTAGTTTGGGGGTGTCTTTTTTGTTTTATTTTACTGATGTCATTGTTTAAGTGTTAAGGATACTGTGGTGTGTGTGTGTGTGTGTGTGTGTGTGTGTGTGTGTGTCATATATGTCTATGTGTGTATCTGTGTGTGTGTGCAGTATGTGTATGGTATATTGTACTGTGTATGTGATGCATATGGTATATGTCTATGTGTGTGTGTGTGTGTGTGTGTGTGTGTGTGTGTGTGTGTGTGTGTGTGTGTGTGTGTGTGTGTGTGTACGTGTGTGCACATACAGAGGTCAGAGGAGGATGTCAGGTGCCCTGCTATGTCTCTGCCTACTTTATTGCTTTGAGACAGGCTCTCTCACTGAACTTGGAACTAGCCTGAAAAGCACCAAGCTCTTAGGATTCCTCCTGCCTTTTCCACCTTTTTCCTTCTCCCAGCACCAGGGTTACAGGTGCACATGACCACATCCAGCTTTTTATGTAGATACTGGAGATTTGTCGTCAGGTCCTGCTGGCCACACAGCAAGTGCTCATACCTGCTTAGCCATCTTTCCAGCATGGTAGAAGTGTTTCTAC